CCCAATTGACAGAACAGCTTTCTAGGTCATCTGATCTGGTATGTCCTAGATCTGTTGTAGCCACCTTATCACCACATGCAGGCATGGCCTGGCTTCCTTGCAACTCTCTGTGCATTTAACCATTCCCTTTATATCCAGTAGGCTCTCTTGTTCATCCCCCTGTCACTCTGTTTTCCCACACACAAAACACATGTGCATGGTGCTTTACATTGTAGGTTGAAAAATAAACACATTTAAGGCTCATGAATTGTATAACATAACATAAACATTGACATTTTAATAACGTTAGAAAAATAACTAGAATGATCATTTTACAACAATCAGGACCAAAAAGAAATATAAAGATTTTCTAAATAAGGGGGGAAGCAATCTCTAAATCTGGATTGTCTTCTAAGTTACCTTCAGACACAAATTCTGCCTCAGTGTCCTCAAAATGATCTACTTCCTCATTAAAGGCAGTATTTTCTTCCTGAGTCTAGGGAGGGACAGATCTTATTTCTCAACTGGAAATTGGATCCCCAGCAGAAGGACAGATTGGTCTGGATATTCTGTGAGAATAGATTCCCTTTCCTCAACTGAATCTAGACTTTGGACCTAACTTATTGGTTTTCCTGAACATAGACTGGGGTCATTTTCCATTAGCACATATTTACCCTGCACTCCAAGACCAAAACATTTTTTACTGGTTTGGATGTGATCTAGGTGAATTGTGAACATCAATGGAAGACATTCTAGATCATCTTCTTCCTTGGTGGTATGTGCAGGTACACCTACATAACATGTGGAGTTCAGAACCAGTGGGATGTCCACAGCACTCAAAACCTAGTTGGGCCTTTCTACACATTGAAAAAAGCCTCTATGTTCACATGCTTTCTGGAGTCCAGTGTTGGCTTCCAATCTCCATCAGTCACCATAGGCGACATCACTGATGGGTTCTTTATCTGGAGTTCAGCAAGAAGTTCTCTACAGTGACACAAACATAAGAATGAAAACAGGTACAGGAGTCTTAGAGTACACTCTAGAAGTTAAAGTGTGACTAAACTTCTATGAGGATTTAGTAGGAGAAGCTGTAGAACTTGAGTTTGGACTGAACACTGATGAGAAGGTAGGGTGTTTCTAATGAGTGGTTATGTCCAAGTTCTTTTAGAAAGGGAACAGACATTACCCGGCATAGAACATCCATAAAAGGACATTTTGCCAAGCTGGGTAGTACAAAGGGCTTTTGGCCAAGCAGGCCCATCCCTTGAGACCGGATCTATCTCTACTCACAAGCTCTAAGGCATCTAAACAAGGATTATTTACTCTTTTTCTTGGTCTCACAGGCCATGCGTTGCTCCAGCTGGTCCAGAAGAATATGTAAGCAGAACAGCAAGTCTGAAGAGGGCATGTTGAGCTTGTCATACTGTGTAAGTTTTTTCAGGATGTCAAGTTTCTTGTGCTCATAAAAATCATCAGGGTAGATGTCCATCCAAATAGTTAAGATGGAACAATCGATGCTGTGGGCATATTGGTAACAAGGAAAATAAGAGTCTGCTATCTCCATCCTGAGCCTTCTACTATAGACCCTTTCTGGCAGGACTAGAAGGTTGGGAAGTGGGAAGAGACTCCTGGAAGCAGAATGCTCCTCACAACCCACTTCTAGAAATTTCTAATACAATACTCCAAAATTCTCCCTGTGATGGGCAGAGAAAGTTGTTTCCCCACTGTATCTGACTTGCTACACACAACCCTCCCTGTCATCAAGGGATTGTGATCCATGCTGGGCTGGTCATAAACAGAAAACCCTGTCATAAAAATGGCTAAAGCAGCACTGAGCGCAGGTGGCTCATGCTTTTAATCTTAGCTATTCAGGAGGCTGAGATTTGAATATCCCAGTTCAAAGCAAATCTAGGCAGGAAAGTGTGTGAGACTCCTATCTCAATAATCCACAAGAAAACTAGAAGTGGCACTGTGGCTGAAACAGTAGAGCACTCGCCTTGAGCTGAAGAGTGCAGGGACAGTGTCCAGGTGCAGAGTTCAAACCACATGACCAACAAAAACAAAAGTGACTAAAGCGAAAAGAGCAGGTGTATGGCTCACTTTGTAGAGCACCTACTTAAAATGCATGAAGCCCTGAGTTTAATTGCTAGGATTGAAAGGAGGAAAGGATATGAAGGAATGGAAAGAAGAAAAGAAGGAAAGGAGGAATTTTGATATAACCAAATACTGGAAAGATGTGAAGTATTAAATAAAGGTATCACAGCTATTTTATATGAAAAGATACTGATTGTTTACTAAAAGGCAAATTATAGAATGTGGAATTCAGGCTAAAATACATGTACAATTTTGTTTTTCTGTAAAGTGATACATGTCTCTTTAGTTTAAAAGTAGTAAATGAGGTTAAAAAATGGAAGAGTTGTTAGAAATGAATCATTTCTTATCACTTTTTCTGCTACATTCACCACCTACAAAATTGAAACAATGTTCATCATTTTAATTATTAATTTATTAATTTAATCTTTCATCTTTAGTGTATAGTCTATTGTGCACATCGTTTGTTTAAACTCTTTTTTTGTTTGTTTTTTGTCCATCATGGGTCCTGAACTCTGGGCCTGGGCACTGTCCATTAGCTCTTCACCTCAAAGATATCACTCTACCACTTGAACCACAGTGCCACTTCTGGCTTTTCTGCTTATGTGGTACTGAGAAATCGAACCCAAAGGCTCATACATGCAAGGCAAGCACTCTACCACTTAGCCACCTTCCCAGCCCTGAAATCTTTATTTTTTCCTTCAGACATGGGGCTTGAATACAGGGCATGGGTGCTGTCCCAGAGCTTCTTTGCTCAAGGTTAGTACTCTACCATACAAGTTTAAACCATAGTGCCATTCTTGTTTTTTAGTGGTTAATTGGAAATAGCAGTCTCATGGGAACATTTCTGCCCAGGGCTGGCTTTGAACCACCATCCTCATTTCTCAGCCTCCTGAGAAGATAGGATTACAGGCGTGAGCCACCTGTACACTTGTGCTCATTTTTTTTCCTTTTAACTGTTACATAAGTTTAGTTCCCCCACCCAAATACGTGCAAACTGAGATGCAAATTGGCTTTAAATTACAAATTGGCTGAAATTACAAATGATGGCAAATTGTTTTTAACGTTTTTTTAATATGAGAAGCTTGAACTTAGGGCCTGGTTGAAATCCCTGTTCTCTTGTTCTCAAGGCTATCACTGTACTAGTTTGGCCCACAGTGCTCCTTTTAGTCTCTTGGTAACCAGTTTATGAGACAATAGTCTCACAGACCTTCTTACCCAGACTGTTATTAATCCTCGATTATCAGATCTCAGCCACCTGAGTTATGATGATTATAGGCATGAGACACTGGCACCAGTTTTTTAAAAAGCAACAACAGATTACTTTAGGGGAGGATGGAGGAGGAGAAGCTAGAGGCTAAAGAAGCTCTCACATAGAAAATAGTTGTAGTGTTCCAGTGAAGAGTCCTAGCCAGAGAATTACGAAGTGTGCCATCACAGTACAGAGAGTTTGGCCAGAGAGGGAAAATCCAGTCAAGGAAACAGATCTGAGCACTTGCCATTAGCTGCAGCTGCGGTGGTGGTGGCAACCGCAGCAGCCGAGCCGCCAAAAGAACAACACAGAGTCTGGGACAATGGTGCCAGATACAGCAGGTGACCGGATTCTACTTAAAACCAGAAAGAACTGACAAGTAGCAGATATCTTCATCCTGCAGATCACAGACCAGAGACAACCAAGGAACCAAGACTCCAGCGTGAGTAGAATCCTGACATACTCACTCCTTCTCAGGGAACAGAGGAGGGAAGGCCACCCTTCCCGCCCTCACCCCCGGAGATCTCCATATTTGATATTGAAAAGGCCCAGCTGAGCAGCTAGTTCTAACTCAGGCCTTGCCTTGGGAAAAAAAACAAAAGAGTCATTTATGAGGTCACAGGCACCTGACTTGAACTGCCAGGCTCAGCTCCTCCTTAGGAAAAGTCACCCATCCCAGGCAGACAAAGCTCTGCCCCGAGGGGAGTGACTTTCTTCACTGGGTAAACAGAGCCAGAGGCTGCCCCTCCCTACAGCAGCCTAAACAGTCAAGTGAAATTCAGTAAACATAAACCCTGAGAATGGCTCCAGGCTGGGCTCCCTGTGTGTATCAGAAGCTATCCCTCAGGGAAAAGCTACAATTTGCTGAAAGGCCTCAACTCTACCCAGAACCTAGCCTCATCACAGCATCTTCAAATTAGAGGAAACAGCCATCTCCCTCTTTTGTGAAACTCAAAGCAGATCTCCCTCTCATTGAACTAGCCTGGGAGGAAGATCACAATTGACTTAAGAAACCAATCATGCCACAGGCAAACCAAACACCACAAGCAGACTAGAGACTCCACCAAGAGACTGGTTACAGACACAGGGAGATACAGGATCTTCCCATCTACTTCTCCCCCCCACCCCCCAAAAAAGAACTCTTTTTTGTACCTTTTTTAATTTTTAGTTTAAAAAAATTGTTTTCTATTAATCTTTTTTTCTTCTCTCCTAATTTTTATTTTAGGTGTATGTGTGTGTGAGTGTGCTTTGTTTAAATCTCTAATGACCTTTTGGTCCTTTTTTCTTTTTTTTTTTTCATTCTTTTCATTTTTTCTTCTGTTTCCTTGTTTTTTGTGTGACTTATTTGCTGTTCTGCTCATCCTCAGATATATGCCCGTCGTCAAATATTAGACCTTACCCCCATTGTATACACACTTAATCAAGAATTTTATTACTCAATTCAAAACTTCTTAGCCTTAAATAATGTAATAGCAGTATTATCTCTTTAGGCTATATAATTTTTGAGAATTTTTAGTTTTTAGTTTTTCATGTCTCCTTTCTATCCTTCCCCTCCTCTCATCGTATCTTGTTCTTCTCTCAATACCACCTTAAACTTAGATAATTTTAAAGATTCATTTAATAAATTTAATATTTGTTTTTCCCATTTTTTTCTTGTCTGTTTTTTTCTCTCTCCTACTATTCTGTCCAATCCATTTCCCTCTTTGAGATTAGAACTTGGTTAAATTCACTCTCCTTTTACCTCTCCACATTCTTCTAATCCTATTTTTCCTCATATTTGTCCCTAAATATAATAATTTCTGGTTTGCCAAATTCATCCTTGCTGTTGTTAGCCCATTAATCCATAGTTGTTTGATGTTGAATAGATTGTATCTGTTGAACTAGATTATATCTGAGTCCTTTTGCCTGTGCAACTACAGGACTTTGGTTGATGCATGCCTTTGAAAAAATATTCTACCAGAAAATTGGTGTTACTTTCATATCAAATGGACAGAACAAGCCAGAGAAATACAAGAAAAATCCAAGTCCTGGTATCTCAACTCCCACTCATGATAACCAGTATTCCAGAGGAGAGTTCTCCAATAGCTCAATAAATATTACTGGGAAACACGGTGAATGAACAGATAGAAAACCTGCAAAGGACTCAGTGTGATCATGATAGGGAGAGAGCAGAGGCAAACCAAAGATCAATACAATAATCTCATGAGCATGAGGAAGCTACTCAAAGGTTGATACAGAAATGTGTGAACAGGTTGAGAACACTCAAAGAGAAATAAAGGAATTGTGTGAACAGGCTGAGAACTGTCAGAGAAATACAGGAATTGCATGAGCAGGCTGAAAAGAGACAAAGAGAATGTCAGGAATTGCGTGAACAGGCTGAGAACAGTCAAAGAGAACTACAGGAATTGCATGAACATGAGGAAGCTAATTAAAGAGTAATACAGGAATTGCAAGGGAGGGACGAGAATAAACAAAGATCAATAGAGGCATTCATGGAATCCATAAACAGACAGCTTAAAGAATTCAGGGAGAACACAAAGGGAATGCTGATTGGAACCCGAGAGAAGGAATGGGAGTATAAGGAAACCATAACCAAACAACTAAGTGATTTGAGAATAAGAACTGAACACCAAATTAAGGAAGTAAAGAAGTCCATACAAGATCTGAAACAAAGCTCCCAAAAAGAATTTGAAGTCATGAAAACCAAACAATTAGAAGGAAAATGAATGAAAAACAAAGAATAAAGTCTTGACATTAGGTTAGACCATGCAGAAAATCGAATTTCGGTGAATGATGACAGCCTAGATATTATGGAGAAAGAATGTACAACTATCCAAGACAAATCCAAAATATGATAGATATATTCAGCAATTGGAAGACACCATCAGAAAGCCTAATCTGAGAATAATGGGTGTAGAGGAGCACCTAGAGACAGAAGATAATGGTCTAGGAAATTTGTTTAACAGGATCCTAGCAGAGAAATTCCCAAACATGAAAAAGGATAGGCCTATTCAGATACAAGAAACGTTTAGAACCCCAAATAGACCAGACAAGAGCAGGACATCCCACCATCACATTATAATATGCACAAGATCAATTCAGACCAAGGAAAAGATACTTAAAGCTGTCAAGGAAAAAAGATCAATCATCTATGAAGGGGAAACAATTAGAATAACTTCATTTTTTTCAGCAGAGAAAATTAAAACAAGAAGAGCCTGGGAAGATGCATGCCATGACCTAAAGACGAAGGATGAACCACTAATAGTGTAAACAGCTAAATTCTCCTTCATAACCAAAGGTGAAATAAAAACCTTCCATAGCAAAGAAAAACTGAAAAAAAAATATCTCCACCAAACTGGTCCTACAAAAGATACTTAAAGATGTCCTACACAGACAGAACTGACAATACCACAATAAAGGCCAAGAAATGGCATCCAAACTGAGAATCCAAAAACCATAGGAAGAACCAAGTTGCCACAGCACCCAAGAAGGTGGATAAAATGGCAGAAACTACCAAACACTTCTCAGTCCTTTCTCTCAACATTAACGGACTTAACTCTCCAATTAAGCGACATACACTGTCTAGATGGATTAAAAAGCAACACCCTTTTATCTCCTGCCTTCAGGAATCACACTTTGCTCATAAAAACAAACACACTTTGAACGTGAAAGTCTGGAACAAAATCTACCAAGCAAATGGCCCCCATAAACAGACAGGAATTGCAGTCATAATATCAGATAAAATAGACTTCAAATTAAAATTAGTGAGAAGAGATAAAGAAGGTCACTACATATGAATTAAGGGATCTTTCTTTCAGGAGGATATTACAATAATAAATACTATTCGCCAAACAATGGATCACCGAAACAAATACTACTTTCCCCAAAATCTCAAATTGATCCAAAGATAAGAATTGTTGGGGGCTTTAACAGACCACTATCCACACTAGATAGATCAACTCGAAAAAACTCAATAAAGAAAATGCAGATCTAAAGAATTGCCTAGATCAGCTACATTTAACAGACAACTACTGAATATTTCACCCAGCAGCATCAGAATACACTTTTTTCTCATCACTACATGGAACATTTTCCAAAATAGACCACTTATTTTATTGTGAAAATACTGTACAGAGGGGTTGCAATTACATGGGCAAGACAATGAGTACATTTCTCATAAAGCATTGTAGCCTCCTCCTTTGTTTCCCCTTCCCATCCCATCCTCCCCCCCCCTCCCACCACCCAACCCTCAATCCCCCACCAAAGTTGTAAAGTTCGTTTTTGACATAATGACTTGTACATCTCGTTGCAATGGGTCCACCTATATGCCTATTTAAATGATTTATTTTTTCCCTTCCCCTCCACAAATGATAACAACATCAAATAGAGTGAAAACAGGGGTTCTAAAGTTGTGCAGGCACATACAAAGCACCAAAGAAATGATCTTATAATTGTTTTAGAAACAATTGCATGAAAGAAAAAAAAACATTTGAATAAATATCTTAGGGTTCATTTCCCTAAAATCGACTTATCTGACCTTTTCTGCTTGATTCAGACTGATACTAGTTATTACAAATAGGGGAAGCTATGGGACCTATGTTTCTTTGGGCCTGTCTTACTTCACTTAATACAATTTTTACCAAATCTTTCCATTTCCTAACAAATGGGGCAATGTCATTTTTTCTGATGGACCCATAGAATTCCATTGTGTATATATACCACATTTTCTTGATCCATTCATCTACTGAGGGGCATCTGGGTTGGTTCCAGATCTTAGCTATGGTAAATAAGTCTGCAATAAACATAGTTGTGCTGGTAACTTTCTTACAGTTTTGCTTGTGAACATTTGGTTAAATGCCCCAAAGTGGGATTGCTGGATCATAGGGGAGCCCTATGTGGAGTCTTTTGAGGAAACTCCATACTACTTTCCAAAGTGGTTGTAAAAGTTTATACTCCCACCAACAATGTATTAAGGTTCCCTTCTGTCCACATGCCCTCCATCATCTGTTGTTATTATAGTTCTTGATTCTAGCCATTCTGACTGGGGTGAAGTGGTATCTAATGCTGTTTTGATTTGCATTTCTTTTATTGCTAGGGAGGTTGAGCATTTCTTCATGTGTCTATTGGCCATCCTTCTTTCCTCTTCAAAGAAGTTTCTCTTTAAGTCTTTAGCCCACTTATTTATTGGGCAGTTTTTTCTTTGAAGGTTTGCTGTTGGGGGGTTTAATTTTTTGAGTTACAGGTATATTTTAGATATGAAACCCTTGTCTGTTGTATGGCTAGTGAAGACCATCTCCCAATCTGTGGGCTTTCTATTGATATTACTAGCTATGTCCTTTGCCATGCAGAAGCTATGCAATTTCATGCAATCCCATTTGTTCAACCCTTCTTAGATTTGTTGTGCTTCTGGGTCTCTATTAAGAAAATTTCAGCCTGTGTCTGTGGATCTATGTGGGATTTGAGCGAAAGTAGTGTTTCTTGGATAAATTTGGGAGCTCCATTTTTTGGCGAGTAGATATTTAGAATTGTAATATCCTCCTGAAGGAGAGATCTCTTAATGAGTATGTGGAGACCTTCTTAACCTTTTCTCTCTTATTTTAATTTGAAGTCTATTTTATCTGGTATTAGGATTGCAACTCCTGCCTGGTTATGGGGGCCATTTGCTTGGTAGATTTTGTTTCAACCTTTCACATTGAAAATGTGTGTTTTTACAGGCAAGATGTGACTCCTGAAAGAAGCAGATAGAAGGATGTTGCTTTTTAATCCAAGTAGGCAGTCTATGTCGTTTAATTGAAGATTTAAGTCCGTTAATGTTGAGAGATACGACTGAGGTATTTGGGAGCTGCTGCCATTTTATCCACATTCTTGTGGCTGCGGCAACTTGGTTCTTCCTATGGCTCTTGGATTCTCAGTCTGGGTACTGTTGTTTGGCCTTTATTGTGATCTAGTTGGTTATGAAGGAGAGTTTATCTGGGTACAGTATTCTTGGTTGATATTTGTTTGTCTTTAGGGCATGGCATACATCATTCTAGGCTCTTCTGGCATTAATTGTTTCTTCTGAGGAATCTGAGGTGACTCTAATTGGTTTCCCTTTACCGGTGATTGAGTTTTTCTCCGTGACAGCTTTAAGGAACTTTTCTTTGGTCTGAATTGAACGTGTGTAGTTTATAATGTGATGGTGGCATGCCCTATCCTGGTCTCATCTATTTGGTGATCTAAAAGCTTCTTGTGTCTGAATAGACCTATCTTTTTGCATGTTTGGAAAGTTCTCTGCTGGAATCCTGTTAAACAAATTTCCTAGACCACTAACTTCTATCTCTACACCCATTAGCCTCAGATTAGGCCTTCTGATGGTGTCTTCCAATTGTTGAATAGCTCTATCATATTTCTTGGATTTGTCTTGGATGGTTGTATGTTCTTTCTCTATAATAACTAGGCTGACTTCAATCCCTGAAATTCGATCTTCAGGATGGTCTAACCTACTATCAAGTCTTTCTACTTTTTTATTTCTTTTCCTTCTAGTTGGTCACCTTTGATGGCTTCAGATTCCTTGTTGGAGTTTTGTTTTAGATCTTGTATGGACTTCTTTACTTCCTTAATTTGGTGTCAGTATTTATTAACAAATCACTTAGTTGATTAGTTATGGGTTCCTAGGACTCCCATTCCTTCTTTTGGGTTACGTTCAGCACTTCTTTTTGTGGTCTCCCTGATTTGTTTGAGCTCTCTGTTTATGGATTCCTTGAATGCCTTTAGTGATCTTTCTGTATTCTCATCCCCCCTCTCTCAATTCCTCTATTACTCTTTGATTAGCTTATTCATATTCACGCAGTTCCTGTAGTTCTCTTTGAGTGTTTTCAGCCTGCTCACGCCATTCATGACTTTCTCTTTGACTGATCCCAGCCTGCTCATGCAATTCCTTTATTTCTCTTTAAGTGTTCTCAAGCTACTCTCGCAATTCCTGTATCAAACTTTGAGTAGCTTCCTCACACTCATGATATTCTTTGTTTTGCCTCCTCTCTCTCCCTATCACGCTCATACAGAGTCCTTTGCAGGTTTTCAATCTTTTCATTTACCATGTTTACCAGTAGTATTTGTAGACCTTTTTGGGAACACTTGTATGGATTATTCGTTATCTTTTTTGTCCCCTGATTATTATGACTGGGAGTTGAGATACCTGAACTTGCCATTTTTCTTGTGTTTTCCAGATTGCTCTACCCATTTGGGATGAAAATAAACCAGCTTTGTGCTAGCACACTATTTTAAGGCAAGCATCAACAAAAGTCTGTAGTTGCACAGTCAAAAGTCTGCAGATACAATATAATTCAATAGATATATCTATTCAACTTCAAACAACTAAGTATTATTGAGCTACGAACTGCAAAGAATAAGTTGGCAAACAGAAATTATTAGGTTTAGGGAGAGATGTAGTAAAAAATAGGCATAGAATGATGTGGAAAGGCAGTGGGAGAGTTAACATAACAAATCCTAAACTCAAAACGGGAAATAGCTTGGATAGAATGATAGTAGAGAGAGAAAAAAAGAAGAAAGAGAAAGAAAAAAGTCAAGAAAAAACAGGAAAACAAACATTAAAAATTAAGAAGTGCAACACTTAAAAATTATGCAAATTGAAGACATAATATTCAGAGAAGAATGTGGATAGAATAAGAGAACAGGAGGGATGGAAGGGAGATGTGAAAAACTTAAAAATAAAAATGCTAAAAATATTATATAGGTATTAAGAGGTAGTACTGCTATTAAGGAAGTTAAGTCTAAGCATCTTTAAACTGAGTAATAAATTTCTGGATTAAGTGTGTGCACAATGTGGCTAAAGTCAAATAATCAACTACGGGTATATATGAGGATGAGAACAACAATTAAGTCATGCAAAGCATGAAAGAGAAGAAAACGTGAAAAGAACAAGAAGGAAAAAAAAAGGATCAAATGGTCACTAGAGCTAAATAAAAAAAATTATTTTAAAAGATAAAAAGAGAGTTCTGGGAAGATGGCAGAGGAGAATCTAGAAGTAAAACAATCATTCACATAGAAAGCAGTTTTAGAGTTCCAGTGAACAGTCCTCAGCCAGAGAATCACACCAAGTGTGCCATCACAGGACAGAGAGTTAGGACAGAGAGGGAAAATCCAGACAAGGAGACAGATCTGACCTCTTGCCAGCTGCTGCCTCATCACAGCTTCTCCAAATTTGAGGAAAAAGCCATCTCCCTCTTTTGTGATACTCAAAGCAGATCTCCCTCCAATTGAACTAAAGTGGAAGGAAGATCGCAAAATCCTGGGCAAAGCAGAGCATTTCTCTGCCTGTTCAAACAAACTGACTTAAGAAACCAACCAAGCCACAGAACCACAAGCAGACCAGAGACTCCAACAAGAGGCTGGTTACGGACACAAGGGATATGCAGGATTTTTCCCAACCCTCCCAGAAAAATGAAAGAACTGCTTTTTTCTCTTCTTCATTTTTTTTGTACCTTTTATAAAAAACTTTTTTTCTTTTCTAAAAATTTTTAATTTTTAAATTTTTTGAAAAAAATTGTTTTCTAGTAACTTTTTTTCCTCTTATAATTTTTATTATAGGAGTACATGTGTGTGTGCATTTTTCTTTCTTTTTATTTCTTTGTTTTTTAAAAAAAAATTCTTTTTGTTTACCTCTACTGAACTTCTGATCTTTTTTTTCTTTCTCTCTTACCCTTTTCACCTTTTCTTCTCTTTCATTCTTCATGTGACTTAATTGTTGTTCTGCACAGCCTCAGATAAACCCGTAGTTGACTATTAGATCCTATCCCCCATTGTGAACACACTTAATCCAAAAATTTATTACTCAATTCAAAACCTCTGAGACTTAAATTCCTTAATAGCAGTATTATATTCTTTATACCTATATTATATTTTAAGTATTATAATTTCTAAGATTTTCACATCTCATTTATATCCCTCCCTTTCTCTCATTATATTCACGTTCTTCTCTGAATAGTTTGTTTTCGATTCTGCATAATATTTTAAATTTTTCTTTTCTATTTTTTCTGGTCTCTTTTTTCCCTTTCTCTTTCTTCTTTTTTTCTCTTTCTCTACTTTCATACTACCCAACCTATTTCCTGCTTTGTGATTAGGACTTAGTTAACTCTCCCTGTCTCTTCCCACATCTCTCTATTCCTATGTTTTACGCACATCTCTCCCTACCCCTAATAATTTCTGATTTTCCAAATTCTTCTTTGGGGTTCGTACCCCATTAATATATAGTTATTTGATGTTTAATAGATGTATCTGTTGAACTAGATTTTATCTGCAGACTATGGACTGTGCAAATGCAGACTGTGGTTGATGCTTGACTTAAGTTAGTGTTCTAGCAGAAAACTGTTGTTATTTTCATCCCAAATGGGCAGAGTAAGCTGGAAAAACACAAGAAAAATGGCAAGTCCGGGTATCTCAACTCCCACTCATGATAATCAGGGGACATAACGGATAATGAATAATCCAGAGGAGAATTCCCAAAAAGCTCTAATAAACACTGCAGGAAAACATGATAAATGAAAGATTGAAAACCGACAAAGGACTCTGTATGTGCGTGATAGGGAGAGAGAGGAGGCAAACAATAGGTCAAGGCAGGAAAAGATTGAAAACCTACAAAGGACTCTGCATGAGAGTGAGAGGGAGAGAGAAGAGGCAATCCAAAGGTTTATACAGGAATATCATGAGCGTGAGGAAGCTACTCAAAAACTGATACAGGATTTGCGTGAGCAGCTTGAGAATACTCAAAGAGAAAGGCAGGAATGGCTTGAACAGGCTGAGAACACTCAAAGAGAACTACAGGAATGGCATGAACAGAAGGAAGCTAAGCAAAAAGTAATACAGGAATTGAGAGAGCAGGATGAGACTACACAAAGATCACTAAAGGCATTCATGGGATCCATTAACAAATAGCTGAAGGAAGTCACGGAGACCACAAAGGGAATGCTGAATGGAACCCAACAGAAGGAATGGGAGTCCAAGGAAACCATAACCAATCAAATAAGTGATTTGAGAATAAACACTGAACACCAAATTAAGGAAGTAAAGAAGTCCATTCAAGATCTAAAACAAAGCTTCCACAAAGAATTTGAAGCTATCAAAACTGACCAATTAGAAGGAAAAGAAATAAAAACCAAAGTAGAAAGTCTTGACAGCAGGTTAGACCATGTAGAAGATCGAATCTTGGAAATTGAAGACAGCCTAGATATTATAGATAAAGTACATACAACTATCCAAGTCCAAGAAATATGATAGACCTATCCAACACTTGGAAGACACCATCAGAAGGCCTAATCTAAGGATAATGGGTGTACAGGAGCAACTAGAAACAGAAGTTAATGGCCTAGGAAATTTGTTTAACAGGATCCTAGCAGAGAACTTCCCAAACATGTAAAAAGATAGTCCTATTCAGATACAAGAAGCTTTTAGAACTCCAAATAGACCAGACCAGAATAGGACATCCCACAGTCACATTATAATCCACACAGGATCAACTCAGACCAAGGAAAAGATCCTTAAAGCTGTCAAGGAGAAAAGATCAATCACCTATAAATGGAAACCAATTAGAATCTCTTCAGATTTCTCAGCAGATTCAATCAAAGCAAGAAGAGCCTGGAATGATGTATGCCATGCCCTAAAAACAAACAACTATCCTCCAAGAATACTGTACCCATCTAAACTCTCCTTCATAACTAAAAGCCAAATAAAAACCATCCATAGCAAAGAAATATTGAAACAATACATCTCCACCAAACCAGCCCTACAAAAGATTCTTAAAGATGTCCTACACAAAGAAAACCAACAAGACCAGAATAGAGGCCAAGAAACTGCACCCAAACTGAGAATCCAAGAACCATAGGAAGAAAACAGTTGCCACAGCCCCCAAAAATGTGGATAAAATGGCAGGAACTCCCAAATACCTCTCTCCTATTTCTTAACATTAACGGACTTAACTCTCCAATTAAGCTACATAGACTGTCTAGCTGGATTAAAGAGCACGATCATTCTTTCTGCTGCCTTCAGGAATTTTGCCCATAAAAACAAACACATTTTCAATGTGAAAGATTAGAACAAAATCTACCTAGCAAATGGCCTCCATATACAAGCTGGAGTTGCAATCCTAATATTAGATAAAGTAGACTTCAAATTAAAATTATTTAGAAGAGATAAAGAAGGTCGCTACATACTTATTAACAGATCTCTCCTTCAGGAGGATATTACAATTCTAAATATCTATTCACCAAACAACGGAGCTCCCAAATTTATCCAGGAAACACTACTTTCCCTCAAATTCCACATAGATCCAAAGACATTAATTGTTGGGGATTTTAACACACAACTCTCCCCACTAGATAGATCAACTCGGCAAAAACTCAACAGAGAAACTACAGATCTAAACAGCTGCATAGATCAACTAGATTTAACAGACATCTACCAAACATTTCACCCAGCAGCACCAGAATACACGATTTTCTCAGCAGCACATGGAACATTTTCTAAAATAAACCACATTTTAGGCCACAAAGCAAACTTGTCCAAATTCAGAAACATTGAAGTAATACCTTGCATTCTTTCAGACCACAAGGGAATAAAATTAGAACTCAACACCAAAAGCCACCAAAGAAAGTCTGGTAACACATGGAAGTTGAACAACACTCTGCTGAATCACGAGTGGGTCATGGAAGAGATTAGAAAGGAAATTCAAATATTCATGCTATTCAACAAAAATGAGCACACAAATTACCAGCAACTCTAGGACACAGCAATGGCAGTGAGCAGAGGCAAGTTTATAGCTCTTAGTTCCTACATCAACATATTGGAGAGATCTGAAACCAACAATTTAATGAGACATCTGAACCTCCTTGAAAAAGAGCAGCAAATAAACCCCAATCCAGTAGACAGAAAGAAATAATTAAAATTAAATCAGAATTAAATGAATTAGAATCCAAAATATCTATAGAAAGAATAAACAAAACAAAGAGTTGGTTCTTTGAAAAAATTAACAAAATTGACAGACCCTTAGCAAATCTTATCAGAAAAAGAAGAGAACACACCCAAATAAATAAACTCAGAGATGAGAATGGAAACATCACCACGGAAACAACCATGATTCAGAACATTATAAGTGAATACTTCTCAAAACTTTACGCTAATAAGTTTGAGAACATGGCAGAAATGGACCTTTTCCTAGCAAATATTGACATGTCAAAACTAAACCAATATGAGATAAACCATCTTAACAGGTCTATATCAAGCATTGAAACAGAAACAGCAATAAGAGACCTCTCAGCTAAGAAAAGTCAAGGACCAGACGGTTTTAAAGCAGACAAAGTTCACTACCAAACACATTCTATGAAGCCATCATAATTCTCATAACTCTCATCCCAAAACCAGGAAGGGACTCATCAAAGAAAGAGAACTATAGACCCATGTTTTGATGAACATTGATACAAAACTTCTCAACAAAATTTTGGCCAATCCAAGTCAACAATTCATCCAAAAAATCACACAACACGATCAAACAGGATTCATTTCAGGGATGCAAATCTGGTTCAATATACGCATATCAATTAATTTTATTCATCACATCATCAGGAGCAAGGATAAGAAACACATGGTTATCTCAATAGATGCAGAAAAAGCATTAGACAAGATCCAACACCCCTTTATGATGAAGGTTTTGGAAAAATTAGGAATCCATGGGATATTCCTCAATAAAATAAAGGCTTTATATGACAAACCTACAGCCAGCATTATACTTAATAGTGAAAATTAAACCCATTTCCTCTTAACTCAGGAACAAGACAAGGATGTCCACTCTCTCCACTTCTCTTCAATCTAGTATTCGAATGCCTAGCTACA